TCTACCTTATTTTAACCATACTTAAGTTATCGGCTTTCAGAGGACCTGAAGCAGAGTAAGTACAACAATTTTCGGGGATGTGGGGCGGACACTAGTAAAAGTATATATTTTTTTATATTTAAATTATTTGAATTCCATTTCGTTAGCCTTTTTTTCGGTGGAGGGGGGGGGGGGGGGGGATTGAGGGTCGAGGCCTTCGGGTAACGGCCTTCAGGCAGATGTCTTTCGGGAAAAAGTCGAGAACCCGCATGTTACACATACACATTTCAAATTACATCTGGATATTTTATCTGGACGTTATTAGATATAAATATTTTTTACTCCGTTTTGACATCTAATGGCGGTTAGACATTTCATGGCCTGCCTAGACATTTCTTGCCCCCCACCCCTATGTAGGCATGCCTGGAAGAAACTCACACGTCCATACATACACACAAACACACAGACAAAAAGGATTGCAAGGTTGAGTTTTTCCGACACCGGAGGGTTGTAAAACGTCAGAATTTGACATGATCTCGAATTAGATTTCATTATTACAATACATACTTTCTATTTGCGATACCCCAATGTAGGGAGGTTTAAAACTGCGAAAACTTTCAAAATCTCATTTGTTCACGATTACAATACATTCTCAATAATGTTCATACGAGAAAGTAAAAAAAACAAAACAAAAAGAACACAACTTCAGGGTGAAAAAGTTATAATATACCATGTTACATGTCTATATCAAAGCGACTATTTTAAAACAGCAATGCGATTACGTTGCTATTATCGTGAAGTATCTGAAAAAAACATATTTACAAAAGATGTTTTAATGATAACTCGAAGGTATAATTAAAACTACATGATAATATGCAATTTAGGTCATGGGGTAAATATTGAGAGCATGTATCACCTTTTTACGGTAATGCACACTTATTTTCAGAATATTTTCCAGTTAGAGTTAAAGACACATAGGGAAGATGAAGTAGAATCCAACTGTGTCAATAACCATGGCAAATAGGTAAAATTGGGTGAGCATTATACCCAACCCATTACTTTCCCTAATGTGTGTCAGGTACCCATCAGAGCTGAGTGGACACAAAGGTATCTGACGCTCTACAGACTAAAGTACGGGATCTGAACTCGAGACATTAAGATGAGCAGTCGCGCTCTCGACCATCTGACCACGGCGTACATTACTATGTCTAGAGTCTTAATGAAACTGACTTGTATTTTCTACAATAGATGTAGGCTATATTGGTCGTATATGTGGTACTTAAATGCAATGTTTTAATTGCGTCTAAAGCATTTACATTATTGGCTAAGAAATTTCAAAATATGATGCGACCCTATGCTTACTCCACTACAAATTGTTTAGCTTGAGTATAACTGTATTTGTCTATTCAAATTCAAGAGACTTAAAATACTCAATATTACTTTGTGTCAATAAAGAAATTAGTCTGTACCGCGTGTCCGTTCAGAACTGTGTCTGTTGCCGTGTGTCCGTCATTGAATGTGTCTCTACTGTGTGTCCGTCAGTCTCTGTGTCTGTTGCCGTGTGTCCGTCAAGTAATGTATCTCTTACCGTGTGAACTCCTCCACTGTGATCATGTTATTCTTGTTGGTGTCAGCGATGGCGAAGATGTCGTCGTAGTCGGCGTTGTCGAGGAAGTTGTTGTTGTCGGTGTCCAGTCCGGGGAAGATCTGGCGCAGGAGGTGGTTGGTGTCTGGGTCACGGTACAGCTGGTCAACCCGCTGCTCGTACTCAACCCTGGTCACCCTGGCGTCATGGTTGAGATCGTGGCTCTGTGGTTGGCATGGAATAGTGTTTTGTTTTTATCGCATATTTTAAACAGGCCGTCATTAAGGAGGACTATTCTATGCCCGGTAGCTTTTACTATTCTAATGCCGGGACGTCCTACTTTCGCATAATACCTACGAGGACTTTGTACTAATATTCGACCACGCTGCCCCTATCTTGCAATAAAATAGTTGAACCTGACAACGGTTTAAATTTAGGGTTTTGAGTCTATTTTTGCATTTAAAAAAAAAAAAAAACCAATCAGGGGCAGTGGCATCACTTGGCGGGTGCGGGGGTGCGGTCCGCTCCGGGTGACGCCATAAAGGTGGTGACATCAAATAAAAAAAAGTCGTAAAATTAGCTGTTAAAAACTACACTTTGTTCCAGTTAATAAAGCAAAATCGTAGGAGGAGCGGGGTGACACCAAACCGAAAATACAAAATTGTTGAAGGCGGTTGGGTGACAACTTCAGTTACTGGAGCGGATGTTACTCGACCTAGTGGCGCCACTGATTAGAGGTCAGAATCGTTTATATATAATACTGCATTTTTATAGTCTTTACTTTTATATGATGTCAGTAATGTAGAATTAATTAATTTAAGATATTCTTTCTTTGTAAGGATGTTAATTGCAACTTCTAAATACGTAGTCAGCTACTTTTTCCTTCAGTCACGTGATTCGAAGAGATATTTTATAAATAATCGTGTTCTTAAGTAAGATAAGTTAGTAGAAACGGTAGTGCTTTAAGGAAATATTAATGGGGGCTGGGGGGCTTGCAAAAAATAACACAGCTTGTGTTAAATAGATAAAAATATAGACAACAAGTGGCTTAGGTGAGACTTTGTCATGGAGGTTTCGAACCCCACTGTATCAACCCCAGCCTACGCCACTGCTTACAGAGGAATAAGTCTAAGCCCTTACGTCGAAGTAGGTTAAAACTTCGGCCTTGGTCAAGTGGCCATCTTGTGGTGTGTCTATCCTTCTGAAGACTTCGTAAGCGACCTGTGTGACGTTCACAGCGTTGACCATCAAAGGGAGACAAGCAACGAAAAACAGGAAGATGGACATTTTCGTTTTCTGAAAAAAATAATTGCATCGTTGACTAGTTTTAAGAATGAGAGGTAAATTAAAGCAAATTTAAAACGTGAGTATACATAAAGTAGATGAAGAAGAGTCGATGTGTTTGACTAGAACGATATTAAACTATCGTGTATATCAGGGGTCTCCAAACTACGGCCCGCGGGCCGGATGCGGCCCGCGAAGTCCTCTCAAACGGCCCGCGGAGATGTTTTTGTCCAACGAAAAATCGTTTTTCGGTGATTGTTGAGGAACTTTGTCCAGAAAAATCAAAGGCATGCCTGAAAGAAACTGGCCCCCAAACTGAAATTTGATAGTTTATGCGGCCCTCGGACTGAAAAGTTTGGAGACCCCTGGTGTATATCAACAGAGATTGTGATGGGTACTCCATCTTTCTTACGCTGAGAATTTTTTTTTACTTTAGATTAGTACTCATTAACTCAATCACCTTATGGCATTTATTATTTTGTCAGTTATTTAATATATTAAAAATATTGATCTGAAATAATTTATAAACCTATTCAAATGTCGACAATATTAATGTCATGTTTATTCCGGCTTAATGAAGTGACGGTGCTTATTAGTCAACCACTCTACGTCTATATTTTGGTTACGGTGCATTATGTCAGAGGTCAGTAGAAAGTCCCTGAGTTCATCCAGCTCTAATGGGTACCTGACTCACGCAAGGGAATCTACGCATAGTGCTGACAACACTATCCCTTTTGTGCCGATGAAACAAACATGTGGACTCTACTTCACTTGCCCAATTGACGGGTTCAAAAAGGGAACTTTACTTTTAAACACCTCATAGTTGTTATGGGTGTGCAAGAAAAAAACAAACAAATTTTAATGTAGAGCCAACAGTATTCGAACCTAATACAAATATTCTAGAGTCCCGAGTTTAACCACACGGCCATAACAGTAACTAACAATAATCTGTTTGTTTATCTAGACTATCATACATAAAAACAGAAGTAAATATCTTACGATGTATAGCGGTGACAAGGTTACAGTTGGTGTGGGGTATGTCTTAGACCAGTTCCATTTATTAAAGTCTGGAGTCAAGAACCGTGGGGAGTCAGCAGATTGAGCCGGCTGGAATCAACATGGAGTTATCTAGAACAAGTTTTTAAAAAATCGCCAGACAATCTTATCTAGAGAGCACTTATGCTCAAAACCAACTTGCGTAATATTCATGACGCATGTAGACGCCTGTCAATTAATTAGAGTCAATTCGTTTTTAATATTTAGTTCAATTTTTGTAACTAAAAACATTTAATTTTTTTTTTTAAACTTAGATTAATTAGTCATTGAGATTTTTTTTAAACATCCACGCCAATTTTGAAGCTCATTGACAGTGAGTGTGAATGAACTCTGGATTTGATATTAGTTTATGGCCAATTATCTTCTTAATTAATTCATGCAGCAGTTAAGAGCGGTTAAAGCAATTAAGTGGACATGTTATACCTGTAAGACTAGCCTCCATTTACATTTATTTGATTTATTTCATTATCTGCTGTGTCTGATTTTTAAATTTACAATTGTGTTATACCCCCCCCCCCCCCCCCAAACGATTTACTGTACTCCAGCTAACATTGCTTCTCTCTCTCTGACCCCCCCCCCATCCCCCTTACATGAGACTGTCCCCAGGCTAACATCGCTTCTCTCTCTCTCTCTGCCCCACCCCCCTTACATAAGTTGCTGTCCCCCATCTAACATTTTCTCTCACTCTGACCCCCCCCCCCCACGAGATACTGACCCTATTTGGCGAGCCTGCACCGACCAATAAACATTCATGTTGACAATTATGTAGTTTAATGACCCCCCCATCCCCCCCCACACACACACTACACAATCATGTAGCTTAATGCTCGACCACGCCGTACCCTCGTGCTATTAAAACTAACAATCTCCACAACTGAATAAGCAGATTATTAAACAATCGTTTTTACAGCATCAAATGCTGATTACATTATGCAATACTTGTTGAATTACTTTTTTTTTACAGCTACAAGATTACAATATAAATGAATGTATGTCTTTTCGAACCATTTTTTTCATGCACTGAGTAGATAAGACAATATATTTTAACCTTTTATAAAAACACAGTTCAACTTTTTCCTACTTACTGTAACTTGGACCAACTTTTTCCTACTTACTGTAACTTGGACCACGTCAGTCTGTCACTCTCCCACGTTACCACGCACAAGAGCATCATAAAAGTAAACCCCACACCTGCAGCCCACCACTACCACAGCTACAACAGCATCCACACACAGGTTAGTACAACAGCACCCACATACAGGTAAGTACCTATGTTCTACTGGGACCGTTTAATTAGCAAGCGTGAAACTGAAAATTTTAAAGTCAGAATAGTATACACTATATAGAAGGCTAGTTTATTACATAGGAGTATCGGTAGAGCGTTAGACGGCGAGCCCGATGGTTTCGATTTCGAATCCAGATTCACGTCAGTAGAACGATACCGTGTCCACCCAGCTCTGAAGGGTACCTTTCTCTTGTAATGGAAAGTAAAAGCTGCTAGGCAGAGTGCTGATCGTACTATGCCGAGGTCACAGAAACAGGTGAACTCTACTTCACTTTCCCCGTCTATAGTTAGGATCGAAAAGTTAACTTAAATTTTACTTTTTCCACATTTATGTGAGTTTTTTTTTCTGCCAATTTTTTGAAACCCATAATTGATACACCGGATGGACTAGTTTTTACGAACTTATTAACCGGAAGTATGTCCGTAAAGGGGAGGTTAGTTAGATGATGAAGATACGCCACCAATATCCGGTATTAACTGGATGCTCTGACATAGGTCAAGGCCTGTTAGGCCTTTAATCAACACTTTAATCAACACATTTTGTTGTTCTGATGTTCTACTCTAAATATTTTATTTAAGTATTTGGGATCACTCTGTCGATTGCTAAACACGAGCCTGCGTGGCCTAGTATTAACGTGACTAGGGTCTGTCAGAGGGCCTGATCAAATCTCTATAATTTTATGCCACTGATCAGGGACAGTTTGTTTTTGGGTTGCGGTATGTAAAATAGAAGAGAATATTCATTTAAAAAAATGTATATTTAAAACGTTCAATTAATTTTCCACAGAACCTCCAAGATGTCCCTCCTACACGTCATTCTCGTCTGCCTGCCACTGTTGGCCCTCGGCCAGGATCTGACGGCTATCGCTTACGAGTCTTTCAGAAGGATTGATGCCAATAATGATGGACGCGTTACAAAGCCCGAAGTCCTAGATTATTTCGATGTAGGTTTTGTTATATGTATACCAAAATTAAATCACTCATTTATAATTTTAAGGACATATATATATATATATATATATATATATATATATATATATATATATATATATATATATATATATATATATATATATATATTGTAATTGGCACAGGACTACGATCTGAACAACGATGGCCATGTGACCAAGGTAGAGTACGGCCAACGTGTCGACTCAGTTTTCCACGACCCAACCGTCAACCAGGTCCTGCACCGCATCTTCCCCGGCCTAGACATCGACAACAACAACATCCTCAACAACGCCGACTACGACGACATCTTCGCCATCGCTGACGCCAACAACAATGGACAAATCACACAAGATGAGTTTGACAGGTAAAAATTCCTTGAAGCTGTGTTTTTACGTTATGAGTTGTTTGATACCTTGACACAACTGTTTAAAGAACGACATGGATCTACACAGTTTTAATGTTAACAATTCACATTAACTACGACGCCCCCTGTATATAGCTAGCTGCCATCCACATTTCGAATTTACGAAGGCTTTTTTAAATTACAATTTTTATTGCAGAGTTTATTTAATGTACATGGAAACTGAATTCTATTAATATTAGAAGAATTGAACAAAAAAAACCCCACTTTTATAACGCAGAGTTAATTGCAGATCTACTTTTGAAATTCAACGAACTATTGTCGAAAATATATCTGATGGATTTAGAAACAAATAGTTTTGTTTTTTGACAATTTCGATAATGAAATTAAAGACTTGATGAAATATTGATCATGATCAATAAAAGTAACTATTAAATGTTTATTATTTATGTTAATAATTATAAATTGAAAATTGTTTGGTTTACTTTCAGATACTTCAAAATTATCGCCACGTAAATTGCAGTCTATAGAAGAGATTTGTTTTGTTGTGAATAAATATTGACATTTAGTACTTTTCACGATGCTTTGGTTTTCCTTTTTGTGAAGTCTAATCCAAAGTTTTTGCTTAAAACAAATATTTTATTGGACACTGTTCAAACATTTCAATTTTATCATATATCAATAAAAAATGGTTGAATTACAAGAAACATAGAGTAAAATATTTTTAAAAATATTATAAACGTAAAAAACCCCACCAAAACAAAAACAAAAACAACACACCCAACCCCTCGCCCTCCAAAAAAAAAAAACCATTAAAAAAACACAAAAAAAAAAAAAAAACAACCATATCAACTATGGGTAAACGTAACTACAGGCTCAGATGTTTTTAAAAAAGAAAAATTACAAAATAGGAAACTCAATGACATGGCAATAGAGTAATAGTTAAGTTTTATTTTATGATGGAGTTGGGTGAATGGGTAATCGTGGTGTATGTAGGTGGTTGGGGGGGGGGGGGGGCGAATATAATGGTAGGCGTGATGTTTGGGTGGTGGATGGGCAGATATATGGATATATTAATTATGTTGTTGTAACACATTTTCAAAAGGATAGGCGTGGTTTTCTGGAGGGTTTGATAGAAAGGTAGGTGTGATGTATGGAGTGACTGAAATAAGGGTAGGCTTGGTGAATGTAGAGGCGGATATATAGATAGCCGTGGTGTTTGGATTGGCTGATATAAGGGTAGGCGGAATATATAGGTGTGGGTTATAGAGGTGCTGATACATAGGTAGATGTGGTGCCTGAAGGGGATGATGTATGAGTAAACGTGGTGTGTGCAGAGTTTCTTTTAACAACGTCCGCCCCCCGTTGGGCGCTGATATAAGGGTAGGTGTGGTGTATGGAGTGGCGGATATATAGATAGAAGTGGTGTTTTTAGGGACTGATATATGACTAGGCGTGGTGCATGGATGGACGGATACATTATCTGTAAAATAAATTATCTCCGTCACGAGATTACTAAACCGTTGTACCATATACACATTTAAAGTACGCATTTATACAACAGCATTACAATTTTAGTTTGATAGTTACGATCAAGTCGTATCAAGTATAAACCCAGCTCTGATGGTTACCTGACTTACGTAAGGGCGGCTGGGCATAGGACTGACCACACTTTCCTTCATCTGCCTAGTTTAAGAATCATATGAACTCGACTTCATCTACCCAGTGGATGGCTAGGTCTAAAGATTATTTGTATTTATTTATATTGTTTTGAAAAGTAGATAACATAAAGTTCAAAATTTTAAACTAATTATCCTGCTGTTGATTTCCTTAAAGATAAAGTTAAATGATTTTTGTATTGAAAAATAGGCCTTGTATCTCTAAATCCTTTTTTTTTTTATGTTATGCTATTGAAACTTTTTATGCAGTTACTAGCCGTTTCGGCCAGGCGTCGCACTTATAATTTAAAGATTAACATAAAAAAAGAACAATATACTTTTTATTCTTGTTTGACAAAACTAGCATCTGTGTGGGTGTGAGAAAATGGCTGATTTACTTGCTACATTTTAACATGATACATCCATAAATTATAAGATCTACTCTGATTTTGTTTGATACATTTTCATATTCTAAGCTTCAAAATTTTAATCGTCATTTACGTTAAAACAAAACATAAAATTAGGACAAACAAATTATGTTTAAAAAGTCATTAATTATTATATTATTGATCAAACACCTTGTTAGCGACCAACAGACTCAAGTTGCTATAATCCTAAAGTATCTGAAAAACAATCGATACAATAATATCAGTGAGTGGCAAATAGAAAGAAAATTTTTAATAACAACATTAAATGTTAGCTAAATTTAGAATCAAATATAAGTAATGGCAATGTTTTTTTCTATCCAGATGTGTTGGCGGTGATCTCTGAGTGTGACATTTTGGTTGTTACAGATTTTTTTTTTTGCTAGTTACGAAATGTAGAGGGTTCGGCATGGTCGAGTCGGTAAAACTCATGGCTGTTAAACCGAAAAGTCTCGAGTTCGAACCCTCAGGCAGATGAGGCTCTTTAGCTGGGGACAGCCACTCTTCTAGGAAAGAACTCCAAAATCAAACAACTGCTGGCTTGTAGTTTTTTCTTGGTTAGACAAAGGCTATGGAAGCAAATCCAAAAAGAAAAAGCAGGCTGAAATCGGATTCAATGGCCTCAATGGCGCATAACCAGTTGACACAAACTATACTTAATTGTGCTGGAGGGGATCCCTTACAATACTAAAATTAAGAATGAAGAAGAAGAAGAAAGACGAAACATAGCTGATTACGGCGTATCCTACAAATACGTCCACATTTATTTATTCTTTCAAATAAAGAGTAAGCTTCAATGCGTTGAATAATAGAAAAATATTTACGTGATCTTGGCAACCCGTGTTTGGGGGATCACGTGCCTTGCCCCCCCCCCACCCCTCCCCTCCCCAATTACCAAAGTAGATAAAGTAGAGTTTGACTTACATCTGATACTCGTCCACCGTGATCATGCCGTTCCTGTTGGAGGATCACGTGCCCTGACCCCTCCCCCCCCCCCGACAGTACCAAAGTAGATAAAGTAGAGTTTGACTTACATCTGATACTCGTCCACCGTGATCATGCCGTTCCTGTTGGAGGATCACGTGCCCTGACCCCTCCCCCACCCCCGACAGTACCAAAGTAGATAAAGTAGAGTTTGACTTACATCTGATACTCGTCCACCGTGATCATGCCGTTCCTGTTGGAGGATCACGTGCCCTAACCCCTCCCCCCCCGGCAGTACCAAAGTAGATAAAGTAGAGTTTGCCTTACATCTGATACTCGCCCACCGTGATCATGCCGTTCCTGTTGGAGGATCACGTGCCCTGACCCCCCCCCCCCCGGCATTACCAAATTAGATAAAGTAGAGTTTGCCTTACATCTGATACTCGTCCACCGTGATCATGCCGTTCCTGTTGGAGGATCACGTGCCCTGACCCCCCCCCCCCCCCGGCATTACCAAAGTAGATAAAGTAGAGTTTGACTTACATCTGATACTCGTCCACCGTGATCATGCCGTTCCTGTTGAAGTCACAGATGGCGAACATGTCGTCGTAGTCGGCGTTGTTGAGCACGCCGTTGTTGTCAATGTCAAGGCCGGGGAAGACTCGACGGAGGTAAGAATGGACTTGAGGGTCAGTGTACACAAGGTCAACGTGGTGGTAGTATTCGGTACTGGTCACTTTGGCGTCGTTGTTCAGATCATGGGCCTGCATTGGTTGGGACAAATTCAGCTAAGCCATCAGTTGTATCAAGTATTTATATCAAAAGGGGATTAGGCGTACGGTTCATGTTCTTTTGTTCTAAAGAGTGGAGAAATGGGAGGGGTGGGGGGGGGGGGGGAATAGCGTATGAATGCGAACCCCAAATTCCCCAAAATTCCTAAGTTCAGACCCCCTAAGCAGATGTGGCAAATACCAAAATCAAACATTAGCTGTCTTGCAGATGTTCCTGGTTGAACGAAAACTATGGAATCACACCCAGAAAGAAAAGCAAGATAAAATCGAAGTAAAAAACTGCGCTGAAGGAAATAACTATGAACGACAAATCCAATATTACAATCTTAATTAAAATTAGAGATTTTTTTTAAAAGCGTAGACGCGCAAAATGGCATAGCTATTCATTATTTCACAAGGGTTTAATTCTATATCACAATTATCTTCACACACAAATATTTAAAAGTGATCATTACTCCTAGAATACGGTATTTTCAAAAATATCTTTTTAAGTAAACCTGTATTTTTACTTTAAGAAACCCTTTATTTAGTAATACTCATATCATTATCTCGGATGTTATCTTGAATCAGATTTAACAATAATATTTTATTATCCCCCGTTTTATAATCTCTATGTTTATGTTATATTTTAATGATGACCTACATAAACTATCTCAGGATAAAATATTTAAACTATAAAAGCTTAAATATTTCAAAGATACAGGAACGAACTATTTTATCAAGTAATCAATGTAATTGTTATCTTCAAGTGATTATAATTCATACGATAACTACAGCGCGTAACATCATCTTTTCTCTTTCGTGCCCACATGAAACAGATGATATAGGATTCATCTGTTTCAGGTAACTCGACATGTGAAGGGATCGTTTGGTCAGCACTATGCCCAGCTACCTTTGTTTCCCTAACGTGAGTTAAGTACCCATCAGAGCTGGGTGGACTCAGGACGTAGTATTTACTTGAACACGGATTCGAAAACTTTAGTTAGTAGCATTAGCCTAGCTCTCTACCGCAAGGCCACGCCGTCCCACAGCATGTATACTACGACAAAATTAAACTTTTGTTTAAATATTTCTACTGTATGTTAATGTATTTGTATAACAACAGTCTACACCAAAAACCAAAATGTAGAGTCAAGAGGGACACAACTCTTACGTCGTAGTAGATGAGCAGTTCGGCCTTGGTCACGTGCCCGTCATGGTTGAGGTCCATCCTTCTGAAAGGCTCGTACGCGATTTGTTGGATGGTCAAAGCATTTTCCACCAGTGGAAGACAGATAGCCAACAACAGAAAGACAAAACATTTTCTTTTCCTTAAAAATAAACATATAAAATATATAAATACAATTAAAAACAATTTTAAAGAAATATATATGTCTAACGGTGGGGGGGGGGGGGGGGGGGGGGTTGGTCATACTCGTTCATATACTCATGCATTCTCACTGAGAACGTCAAGTTTGCTAAACTTAAAACAACCAATCCTACTCTAAAACCAAAACTAAAGAATTAAAACATGTTGACACATAATACAATACGTGTATTTATCTTAACTATTTATTTAACTATTTATTTAACAACATGTTCCTTGCAAACACTCCAATTTAGGAAGATTTATGATGTTTATAATGCCTTACAATAGCAGAACTCGGGCATTAGACGACAGTTACAGTCTTAGAGAAACGGCAACATGATAGAATCAGGCAGACGGCAACATGACATCATGAGGCAGATGGCAACAGGACAACATTTAGTAAGCGGCGAATGGACAGCGCCGAGATTAAGAACGACATTCTTGCCTGATTATGTCTAAATTCTCTGAGTAATATCACAGAAAAAAAGTTTTTTTCTCTCTCAAACTCGTCTTCGATAAACAAATTTGACCATCGGCAACACACTCAAAATATCTCACTAGCCTGTTGTATAAACAAAAAATAGCACCCGATATACCACACCATAGCAACATCACTAACCAACAACACATGCCACACAAAAACACACAACTCACATCCTCTACACGAAAGTAATTTGATACAGGCTAACATACGCACAACTCTATACATTTAAAAAAAGGAAAGATAGTGGGAATCTGAGACATCTATAACAGTTCCAGCTCTCCAAACCTCTACCATACAGATATATTTCATAATATTTGATAAACATTTTATTTGTAATAGTTGTTGACTGTTCTAATGAGTAAAGTGCGCATGCTCATTCAGTGACCACGTAATAACTACCACCTGTCTTTAAAACAAAACTGAAAAGTCTGGTACAGCTGGCAGAAGTCTGTGTGTAGCGACACGGCTGAGCTAGGTGTGTAGTGTGACGTAATAAGAAGCAAAAATGGCTTACGCTATGCGCCAGTTGTTACGACGCTGTAGCTGAAGATAACCTCTGGCAGTTCCACTGATGCGAGATTTGTGTCTTGTAGCGTGGGCTGGCACCAGATTGGTTCTGTTAATTGGCTCTGTTAATTGGCTCTGTTAATTGGCGATGTTAATTGGCGATGTTATAATGGAATGATCTAGACATTTTTAAAAAGAAAATTATCTAACAGTCTTATCTATAAACGGCCGGAAATTTTACGCTAAAAAATGTTTGTTTTTTTTGTAAACATTTCGAAAATTTTGTAAACTAATAGATAAAAGAAACCAGATAACCAATTTTAACAATGCTTAAAACCACTAATTAAGCTCTTCATATATGCTATGCCACATAATTATAAACGAGGTTAATTAACATAAATGATTCCGATAATTTATGCTAATGTAAGATCTCTGTGCATGTTTTAGTTCATTTTTTAAAATTTGATTTGAAACCAGGATAATCTTTTTAGACATTTTTTTATTTTTGTATAACTGTATTCTTTTATACACTTACTTTTCAACAAACGAAATACTGTTGCTTAAGTGTGTTTTTTCATTTGCTGAAAAAAACCCAGATCTTTCGAATTCCGAGCTAAAATTGAACACATTTTATTACTTTCAGCTTTTTGTCTCCTAGATTTAAAGAAATGGTTTGCCACCATTTCTCGCCAGAGTTAGATAAGGCTGGTAGCAGTCCGTCATGAAGGTGACACATGCAAGTACAGGTCCTCACTACCACTAGGTCTTTCCTGCCTGTCTGAAAGGTAAGTGGGCTTTGACTTTTTGCTGTTTTTGCAGGACAATTCCATTATCTATATATACATTTTGACTGGTAGGCCTACTTCGCTAAAAGGTCAAATAACGAATTTTTTTAGTATAAGCCTTACCATTGTTTGATGAGAGAGTATGTAATTGTGGATTCGGGGAAATTGAATTAAAATGTTGAATTTGACTCGACTGTGCATGAAAGACGATAAATGGTAAATAAAAAAGTTCACAGAAAAAAAGGCTGTAAGAATTATTTAACCCCCAAGCCATTTTTTTGGTATGAAACAAGTATAGGCCAAGCACGGCGTGGTCGAACGGTAGAATCTACTACTGCTAAAAAATCGCAACTTTGCACGTGTTGTTAAAGTTACCAGATGATCGCTATCTGGCGAACTATTTGAATTTATGTCGGTCGACAAAGTCCGCTACTTTACTCCCCCCCCCCCCCCTGCTCCATAGCATAATCGAATAGGAAGCAATGTGTTTTTTTTTTAAATATAGAAACATTTTTGTTTTTGCAACTGACATATTCACTTTCCTAGTTTTGGTCAAGCCTGAAATAAAGATGTGAAGTTCTGTCGTTAAGTGTGGATGTCGCTATCTCTCTCGTTACAGGAACTCAAGAACTCAATCATGTCCCTCCTGTACGTTCTTCTCGTCTGCCTGCCACTGTTGGCCCTCGGCCAGGATCTGACTGCCATCGCATACGAGTCTTTCAGAAGGATGGATTCTAATCATGATGGCCATATTACAAAAGCGGAAATCCTACATTATTTCGATGTAGGATATATTTAATTTGTATATATAATCTATACAAATTAACCCTTGTCATTATCGTCTAGGTTTTGCTAGTCCTGTCTAAGTTTAAATGAGAACTAAAATATGTATGTGTGTTTAAATATTTATTACGGAGTGAAATTAACGTACACTCAATGTCGAGGCGCCTTGACAGTTGTGTTAACAAGACCACGCCTCAACATCTATGATCCAAGAAATATAGCGCCGGAAAGTTTTAAAATTAAATACACGCGTTTAAAAGTACACGGCTGATATGCAGTGATGAAATTGTCCTAAAATTTTCCGGCAGCATTTCTACTGAAATCGCAGGAACGCGAGGGACGGCTACGCTAGTAGATATATACGTTAATAACGTTGTGGATATTATTATATATATATAAATATATATATATATATATATATATATATATATATATATATATATATATATATATCCATATATATATATATATATATATATATATATATATATATATATATATATAATATATATATATATATATATATTATATATATATATATATATATATATATATATATCCATATATATATATATCCATATATATATATATACATATATATATATATACATATATATATATTTTATAAATATATATATATATATATATATATTATATATATATATATATATATATATATATATAAATATATATATATATATATATATATATATATATATATATATATATATATTATATAATATCCATATATATATATTATATCCATATATATATATATACATATATATATATATATATACTATATATTATATTTATAAATATATATATATATATATATATATATATATATATATATAGTATATATATAAATATATATAAATATATATATATATATATATATATATATATATATGTAAACACAATATAATTATTTTCGAAATCTAATTATATAAAAAACGAATGTATATAGATTCTCAAAAAATATGTCCACTGAGATGAGTTTGAAAATGTCATACTCAGGGCTACGATATAAACAACGACGGTCACGTGACCAAAGTTGAGTACGGGCAGCACGTTGATACAATTTTCCACGACTCAGCTACCATCCAAGTCCTACACCGCATCTTCCCCGGCCTGGACAGCGACAACAACAACATCCTCAACAACGCCGACTACAACGACGTCTTCGCCATCGCTGACGCCAACCACAACGGCCAACTTACCTTAGATGAATATGAGAGGTGAAAGATGCTAGAATTTTGTTTCGTCTTTGTTCATGGTCAACTTGCCTTAGATGAATATGAGAGGTGAAAGAGGTCGCAATTTTGTTTGTCTTTGTCCGTGCATATGATGATGACGCGTCAACATTACAATTGTTCAAAGAACTATGCTGACTGACTAGCAAGTTTAATATTCAACAACTCTGGTAATTCCTGCAGAATGCTAACCACAACTTACTGATCAATTCACCTAACGCCTGATTCTCTTATAATTTGATAACAGTACTAAGTTAAGGTGCTTGATAGGATCTAAACTGGACATTATATAATTCTAATGTTTTAGTTTTAATTCAGTTGAATTATATCAGAAATAGGCTACACGTGAATCTAAAATTTAAATTCCCACAAACAACAAAAAAATAACAAACAAAAAAAAACAACACATAGACAAAGTAGAGACGATTATACTTTTTCTTCCAAAAATTATACAAACAGCGGAGAAATAAATGAATCATTTTTTTTTTATTTTCGTACTCGTTTTAGCTATTTTCGATATCGGACGATAACAAACAATCACATTTGGTGTTTCTCATTTCGTTGAGAAAGGTCAGAAAATGGTCTTTTAGAGACCGCGAGCTGCTGATTGTATTTTAAAGTAAATATTTTTTGTCGTAGTGTCGGCTTCATACATTATGAAATACTAACACGGAGAAAAAGAAGACAAATCTATTAAAAAAACCATCATAATAACAAACTTTTAACGTAATAAGTAATAAATATAAATAAATAAAACTAACTTGCTTTCTTTAAAAAAAAAAAAACATTGGTCTCTTGTAAAATTTCCTACACGTTTTGGCAACGAAAGCTTTTACAAAAGAAGCAAAAGTGTTTTATTTTCTTATTTTCATTGCATTTAAAATCTTGTTAGCTAAAGGATTTTTATGAGTGTTTTATTTTTTTATTAATCATTAAAATTGTTGTAAAATGTTTATTGTCAATAGTTACCGATTAATTAAAAATTATCTTACTTCCAGGTACTTCAAAATAATTGCCACGTAAAATACAGCCAATCAAAAGGAACGTTTCATTGTGAATAAATATGGATTTTTAAAAACTTTGTTTTCGTTTTCTTTTTTTAAAGGTTGATCAAATTCTCTTTTTTTCTCATTTACCTTTCTACAAAGGTAAAAAAATAAAATTTAGTTTCTTATACTTCAATGATATTACTTCAAATGAAATCGGAATTTAGAAATGGTATGTATGTGCGTGATGACAACGCTTTTTTTTTCGGGCAAACAGGAAAAACGTTCTTTGATAAAGATGTTTTACTTCAATATTAAGAAATTATTCAAGCAATACTATAGTATATGTTTATTCAAATAAAAACTTGCATTTAATAATACTTTGCTCACATCTAAATTATTTTAGTTTTTAATTACTACAAACATTCTAAATTCTACTTATTTCATTTTACTTTAAAATGCATATTATGATTTATTAAGTACGCACGCCACGATAGCAAGCAAGAAACAAACAACTTTAAAGTCGGTCAATTCAGTCAATTAATCATTTTATTTTGCCTGGGTGAGGAGATGAGTGTTTGATGAGATTTTATAACTGTTTTAAAACAGAACCACAAAGAGTCTTATCCTTGGCGCCGGTGTCAAGATTTTCCCTTTTATTTCACATTTTGGACACATTTCAATTCACAAAAACGGAGAACCCAAAGTTAGAATATTTAGAACCTGCGGATTTTTAAAATATATTTGTGTTGTTTATTTTTCATTCTTTTTTTTTAAATTTGTCATTTTCCCCCATTGAATATTTTTTTTAGAATCTAAAGTTTTCGTTGGAATTTGTTGGTTTTTAGTGAGGTTTTAGAAGAAGGTGCTTACACGCAACAAAGCCCAGCTGTCTCAACATACGATACTCACTATGTGGACTTTTGTTATAGTCAACACAATTTTTATCATGCAATTTATTTAATTAGGTAGAAGCATGGTGTTATTCGAAATGTATTTTATTAGTATTTTTTCTAAAATTTTCGTTTAATATTGCATGTTTATTGTTTTATTTTACAAATGCATTTATAGTAATTAAAAATAAATATATGAGCAAGAGTACATTTAAGTTTCTTATTATTAAAATTGTTGTATAATGTATGTGGTTCATTGCCCTGTGTGAAATCGTTTGGAGGTAGGTTTGGGAAAAGGTACTGAATAAGTTATAACATAATGCTACATGCTGGGGTATGAAATTGTTTTGTTACGTCCTTCAAGCTAGGGTTGTATGTTACACGTCTACATCCAAACCTATTAGTGTGATCAGCCCAGAGCTGCAACCTGTAAATGGTTCCTGGACATCAAAGTTCAATCATTGCACAAAATTGCATTTACTGTAAACGTATCCTAAACTTAGATCAACTGCTCTTATCTCCTCTATGAATTTCAAACAAACGAACATATGTTGAAATTTGAACACATATTGAGAGTTGAATAGTAGCTTCACAATGCGGGGAAAGAGGGGGTAGGGTTGTGGATCACACCGGATGATACCGTATTTGACGGTGTCAAATGTGCTAAATTGCAGAGAAAAAAATCTACGTAAGTTTTTTAGTGAAAGACTAATTCCACAGATAAAACAAAAATCAATAAAGATAATTAACAGACCCACAGCATAAAATCTGGGACCGATGTTTAGACCTGTACATCAGTATTGACAAATGTCTTTTATTCTCCTTGTGACTGATACATGCATATCAAACGTGGTGACACTTTTAATGAACTCGACCAAGTTACCTCGGCGTACTTAAAGCTCTATCGCTACACAATTAAGTATAAAAAATAACGAAAGTTCAGAACAGTAAGTAAGAGTTTATATAAGTCTTATCTTGAACGATAAGAGACACGTTTAAAAAAATAATTACACCGTTTTACCTTATTTTTTTTTTGGTGTTTGCAAACTGAAATCTTAGTACTCAAGTACGAGTGTAAATATGTAAACTTTTTAAATGTCTGATTTATATGAGGGACAAATTTGTTATAGTACCCCCGTCTATGCAGTAGTACTGTAAAGAGTAGTATTTACATCTGTTTTTGTTTGTGTAAGGCTAGTATTATTATCTATAAGATCTGTGTCTTTTGTCGTGAGCAGTCAACAGATTGTCTCTTCTAATTTGCTATGTCACATGAAGTGATCAACATCCTTAAAATGAATGCATCAGAATGTCTTATCTTTAGAGGGCAGGAACTATGATTCGCCTTTTTTTTTAGCAAAGTTCTAAATTTTTTATTATATAAAGTATTTGTAATTTATAAATAAATGGACTTTACACTTTGTTTAGTCTCAGATTTAAAAATATGCTTTGACACGACTTCATGCCCGAGCGAGATAAAACTAGACAATTTCACCTAGGTTAAACTCCATTTGAGATTTTTTAAAATACATATTTAAACTTAACAAAAACCTGTTCATTTCTCACAGACTGGGGAACAGACCATCATAAAAGTGACACCCGCACCGCTTAGATTCACACTACCACTGTCCTACCTGTCTGAAAGGTAAGTTGGCTCACAGATTAGCAAGAGGTTCAAACACGTTGAAGAGAGATGCGAAAAAGTTAGGTGCCTTTCAAGATATCATTTCTGGCAATCAACTTGAGAGATTTAAAATTTCTGAATGTTCTGAGATGCGTAAACCGATAAATTACCGGGGTGATTTGAACCTGTGGGTCGACAGATCTACTACTTGACCACTCCACTGCATAGTCTAGCCGTTTACTAAACTACGTATTGATTTTATATCGAAACTTTTTTGTTACAATTAATAAATTCACTTACCGAGTTTTGCTAAATCCTGAAATCAAAATACTCAATTGTGTCGTAAACTGTGGATAACACTGTTCTTTCTTTTTACAGGAACTCAAATAACTCAATCATGTCCCTCCTACACGTTCTTCTCGTCTGCCTGCCACTGTTGGCCCTCGGCCAGGATCTGACTGCCATCGCTTACGAGTCTTTCAGAAGGATTGATGCCAACCATGACGGCCATCTTACTAAAGCCGAAGTTCTAAACTATTTCGATGTATGTTTTGCACTATTATCAAATATTATCAAATTTAATAAATCATTTATATAAAATAATAAATTAATATCAATTAATGTACAATTGTATATCTATCTATATATATATATATATATATATATATATATATATATATATATATATATATATATATATATATATATATATATATATATATATATATATACTTATATATATTTGTAATATAAACATATACTTAGTTGAGTTTTAAATGTCTTGCACAGGCCTACGATCTGAACAACGATGGCCACGTGACCAAAGTTGAATACGGCCAACGTGTCGACTCAGTTTTCCACGACCCAGCCGTCAACCAGGTCCTCCACCGCATCTTCGACGGCCTGGACAGCGACAACAACAACATCCTCAACAACCACGACTACGACCGTATCTTCGCCACCGCCGACGCCAACAACAACGGCCAACTTACCCAAGCTGAGTTCGACAGGTAAATGTTCCTACAGTTTTACATTGTCTTTATCTATGGATACATTCACGATCCGTTCTTTGAACAATTGCATGACTGACCGCAAGTTTACTAAGCATCAACGTTGATACCTCCTGTAGACTGTGAATATACTGTCTTAATCTATGGATAAAACGACAATTATGTTGACGTTACTATTTTTATAATTGCCTGCAAGGTGGGTCATCAACTTTGATACTTCTGCATATTGCTGCTAACTACAATCTATTGTCCGATTCTCATACGTTTTATTGTGCCAAGTTTAATTTAGATAAAATGTATGGAGATGTTATAATTATAATGATATAGTTTTATAACAAAGGAATAGCATAAGAAATAAACTTAATGATCCTCCAAAAATTAAAAAAAAACTCAGAGGCGGGTGTACTTTTTCTTCTAAAAATTAAACAAAAACGTAGCAATAAAAACAATTGTTTTACCGTGAAACTCACTCGTGTTATTTGTAATATCTTATAAAAATAGCACTTGATTAAAAAAATATAATTAAAATAATTGTAAAATCTTTCATTTCTATAATAAAAAACGTTTGTTGATTATTTATATTTATATATATATATATATTTTTTTACTTTCAGATACTTCAAAATCATCGCCGTTTAAGATATAGCCGATCTAGGAGATTTGTTTTGTTGTGAATAAATATGGAATTTAATTTCTTTTAACAATGCTTTCGTTTTCTTTTTGTTAAGAGAAATCAAATGTCAGTATTTTAAAACAAAAAATGCATGTGTATGTATTGTTAAAATGTTTAATTTTGAGACAACAAAATTTAAATAAATTGTTTGTTGCATTACATTTTAGCAAATTGTAAGAATTATTTTACATCTTTGAAAAAAAACCCCCAAAAACTGACATACTATCATCAATAGTATCTACAAAGTTAACGAAATAAAACAAAGCGGGAGTGATCTCGCATCAACGTTAATATATATATTCTTATATAACAGTTAGGTTTGGAGTTTGCTGTCAGTGAAAGAAATATAGCCGTTTGTGATAAAAACTGTTGATTTTGAAAAAAAAACACATAGAAGTAAAGATTATGAACATTGATTATGGTATAAGAGTATCAAATTCTGAGCCAAATAACCTATTACAAAGAACTAAGTCTTTATTCTATTATACACACTTTAACGAATTAAATCATTACTTCCTTTTGCCTGAAATAACTATAGATAAATTTGAAGTGCTTCGCCTTCAATTTTAGAATCATTTAGTAAGTAGTTCTAAAGAGCGTTATAGTTTTACTTCTGACAATTTTGAGAGTTCCAACGTTGAAAAAAACGAAAGAAAATGTAAGAACATAATGCGTTAAAAAAACATCTATCACAAGCGTACTCGATTGTATCAATACAACACAAGTAGAGACCACATGATCATAACTTTGACAAATTGATCAAGCATAATTTAAAATTTCTTAATTTCGATTTAGCTTTATCAAGTAGTTGTGATTCAAAGTTTTTGCATTACATAATTCAAAGCAGCTTACAAAAGCAACACAAAATAATCTTGCTATTGATTTCCTTTAAAAAATGTAAGTTCTTTATTTAAAGATTTTTCATAACCACATACACATATTAAACCAATGCATGAAACCTGTAGTAATCTAGACATTTAAATCTATGTCTTGTCGAAAAATCGAACTAAAGCAATGTAAAAACACACCTTTTCCTTATCAATCTAGTTCAACATCAACAGACGAAAAAGTTAACTAATGTAACTGAACCCAACTTTAAGCTCATTCCTATCTTCTTTTAACGTATTTTTTATTAGTGGTGCCGGTTCCAGAGCTTCATTAGTAAAGATCAGTAGACAATTTTTATTTAGCTTGAAAAAAATAATAATGCCATTGACCCCTAAGTATAGACATCATACAGGTTAAAATTGCAGTTTTTTTAACGAAAGGGGTGCGGGGGGGGGGGGGGGGGTGAGGACCGCACCGGGTGACACCATTTAGGGTGTGACACCATGGCGAAAAATATATTGTAGAAAAATGCTTTTTGTCAGTTCATAATTAGTAAGAGTGAATCCACTTGTATTAATAAATGACTGTAGATAACCATCTTTACTATTAACTGTGCACACTTTAAATCTGTCATCGGGGGGGGGGGGGGGTGGCACCAGTTAAAGAATGTAGAGAGGAATAAAGGCTTGTGTTGTATTTTGATTAACAGATAAGTCAATCTGCGGCAGTAGAGGAGGTGACACCAAAATCTAAAGATTTACGATAAAAACGACGCTTTTTCCGCATTAATTAATAGGTGGACAGTGCGCACAAATCGATGCCATTTGGCAGAATGGGAAGGTGATGTCACGAATTGCAACTATATATAGGCCTATGTAGACCTTTATATATGGTTCCATGACAAATGATCTCAGGACAAATGATCTCAGACAAAATATCTCAGAAAAAAATATCTCACGGACAAATAATCTCAGGACAAATGATCCCAGGACAAATGATCTCAAGGACAAATGATCTCACGGACAAAAGATACCAGGACAAAATATATCAGGACAAATAATATTATGGACAAATCATCTCAAACAAAATATCTCAGACAAAATATCTCACAGTAAAATTTTAATATTATGTACGATGATTTTAGTGGCTTTGACCTTTTTTTTAATTGACTGTCAATATGGTTTTGTTTACTCTTTTTACTCATAATAATTGATTGTTATAAAATGAATTTGTTAAACTTAACAAACAAATGTGAATGGGTCTTCAGGTTCGTAACTTAAAACTGTTGTTTTACTGCATCATCAACAAAAAAAAATAAAGTTTACGTTACTTTGCTGGCAGGTACATCGTTATGATCACACATTTCCAATACTATGTGATCATGTATTGTGTGAACTTTCGCTTTAGCCTACATGTTCTTACTTGACATTTCCAAATCTCTTTGCCTGCTGCTCTACTTATGGCTTTTATAAACAGAAATTCATTCGAAACTAATGCCCTATACCCTATGTGCGAGGTAACGAAAGAGGCCTTAGCAGAGTAACCACCACTAATACTGCTTTGTTTTCTTGTACGCTATGACAAACTTCGCTCCGCGATGACCGCTGTTGTTTAAATTAGCATTTGTCTTCTGATCACTAAGGTGTGACCGACGCATAACAGTTGACTTTGGATGCTAGTTGTATTGTCCATGGAGGTCGGATGTCTTTCCAATAAGGCATGTCTCTGCCATCAAAGCGGGCGGCCACCTTGATTCCAAGGTGTGTCTTTATTATTTCATTCCCGTTGATCTAATTTCGTCCACCTGCCGTGGTAGGATTGTCTCATGTTTGTCAAGCCCACCTACGGGGTCTATCGAAAAAGTTTCTTTAATCTTCGCATACTGTATTAGTAATCTTAATTTTAAATGTTTAGTACAATATGTCAAATTTATACGGTCAGCATTTCTTACAATTATTATATAGGCCTATAAACAATATTAAACATAGTAAACAAAACCATATGACAGTCAATTAAAAAATGTTCAGATCAACTAAAATTATCCAATACACTTTTAAAATTTTGCTGTGAGATATTTTGTCTGAGATATTTTGTCTGAGATCATTTGTCCATGGTATCTTTTGTCCTGATATATGTTGTCCTGGCATCTTTTGTCCGTGAGATCATTTGTCCTTGAGATCATTTGTCCTGAGATCATTTGTCCTGAGATCATTTGTCCATGAGATATTTTGTCTGAGATATTTTGTCTGAGATCATTTGTCCTGAGATCATTTGTCCTGTCACCATATATTTATATATATATATATATATATATATATATATATATATATATATATATATATATATATATATATATATTATATATATATATATATATATATATATATATATATATATATATATAACAGGTATTTTTCGGTGGGGGGGGGGGTGACACCATGAGGTCCCCGCATCCCAGTAGCTGGTGACACCCGACCTCGCTACGCCACTGCCTAGTTTGTAGCGAATTTTGAAAATATAATTCAAATTGAAATAATGTTTTTAGTTAACGATATATTTAAAGCCACTACGGTTATGTGATGCTATTTTGAGGTATAAACCATAAACACGTTTATGCTTCCATCAAACTGTTTTGTCAAACTAAACACTGTAAATCAAAATAAATCTTATAGCGTAAGATAAACCCCACCCTACTTAACATTATATTTTTTTACCCTTACACTTAGTATATTATAAACTTTAGCACTAATACTAATATATCCGATAGTTTAAGGGTTAATTTATTTTGACAAATTTAAAAAGGATGATAAAGAAGGTATCATGAGCCCAAATGATCCAGAAAATCAAAACCTATCCTAATATATTAGCTAGCTTTAACAAAACCTTCGCAATGACTTTTATCTTACCCAGTGTTTCTTCCAGACTTTTTTCTCCGGGGGGGCACTTGAAATCTTCGGGGGGGGGGGGCGGTAAACTTTCTTCGGGGGGGCGGACACAGTTAAAAGTATATATTTTCTATATAAATTATATAAATTTTATTTCGTTCGGGGGGGGGGGGGGCGGTAAAAATTTTTCGGGGGGGGGGGGGGGGGGGGCTTCGCCCCCCCGAAGAGATGCCTGGAAGAAACTCTGATCTTACCCAAACCCTTAAGCTATGACCTAATGGGTCGTCTTTGAATTATGTCATCCTTTTCGCATTTTACCAATTCGAAATTAGAGTTTTAATCAAGGATGAAAATAACTAAAGGAATGCAATTTATTACTTATATTGTAATGTAAATATAACTTGTGTAAATCTAACCTCAATCAAGGCAAATAATGTGTATAGTTTTCATCAGATGAAATTAATATCTTGAAGGCTAATGCTTTTATTTTAATACTTCGTTATTTATACATCACGTTAATTAAAGGGTTGAATTGAAAAATAAACAATGATTTTAGAATTGATAATTTATTGAATGTTCTAGACATCACATTATTTTGTATAAGAATTAAACCATCACGTATATCTCACAATAGTAAACGAATGCAGTCTTTAATTGTAAGCAAGTCTTCTATAACAAACATTTTCACCACACATGTACACAGAAAGTCTAGTTCTCTCGTCAAGTTTTGATTTGTATATTATGTTCTCGTGCTGACATCTATGTGTTATCTGGTCTATATGTTCAGAGTTCTATAATTATAAAACACGATTCTTGGTTCTGTTCTTATCTTTGCACTTTCCATGTTCGTCTATTACTGATTTGTTCTTGATTGCAATGTAAGGAAATACCTCCAACAAAAGTCAACTTCTTATGCTCTATATAAGACGTTGACTCCTATTTAAGCCTGTTTTTCTTTCTAGATCTACTTCCATAGCCAGAGTTTCTTCCAGGCCCCCAGTCTACCGCCACCCCCACCCCGAATGAAATGGAATTTATATAGAAAATTTATACTTTTACCAGTGTCCAGTGTCCGCCCCCCCCCCCCGAAAATTTTAGTCCATTTTTATAACCATTTTATCTAGCCCATGACTAAGCATTCTCGCGACAAGCAGTGCTTCTTTAACAAAACTTTTCTCGGAGAGGGGATGGGGTACTGGAAACTTCCTGGTGGGATGGTGGACACTGGGTAGATCTTGTATTATCTAAATATATATATATATATATATATATATATATATATATATATATATATATATATATATATATATATATATATATATATATATATATATATATATTACATTATTTCAATGGAGGGGGGGGGGGGCGGCGAGTGCATGACACTCTACTAACCACAATCTCGTTTTCTTGTAGAAAAAAATATTTTCCTAACCTACAAGCAACAGTTCATTAGGTAGAATGTTAAAACTGTTTAAAAAAACAACTTTTTGATTTATGCAAATTTAATTATAAAAAACCCTAATTAGGTTACAGCCCACGATAAACATACCAGATGTCTTTTCCCAGGCAGCGCCGATAAAAGGTGAGCTACGGCGTGGAGATTACATCCAGATTACATCCTTACATCTACGCCTGACCTGTAGCTTCTGTCAAGTAAGTTTTGTAAGTTTGAAAAAAAAAACGTATTTATGAAAATAATAAAGGTCTATTCTTCTAGGAATGCGATGTAAATCTCATTACTGTAGATAAGTTGATTTGAATATTGATATTTAAATATTATTTCGTAATTTTTAAAAACTAACTGAACTGTGTACCATAAGAAAGCATATCACTAGTAAATTAAATAAGTTATTCAACTGTGTGTGTGTATTGTATACAACAACGTAACTTAACAACACAATGTTCACTAACAGCTCACAGCCATGTCCTACCTGATCGCCCTACTTCTTGTCCTGCCCCTCGCTGTCTACTGCCAAGTCCCAAACCTTGACGCCATCACGGCTGATGCCTTCAGAAAGTCTGACATAGACGGCGATGGCAACATTGAGCGTCCAGAGGTCGATCAATACTTTCAGGTATTTGTTTCAGGTTTTTTTTTAAATTCTGTACAAATAATAAGACATACTAATATACAGCTTGCGTACGGCATGGTCGTATACTAGAGAGTTTAATTGCTAAACCGAAAGTCTCAGTTTCGAATCCAAGGCTCGAGTACAAATGATGTAACTGAGTCAACTCAGCTGTAATGGGTACCTGACTCCTGACTCAAGTTAGGGATAGTTAAAGCTGACCACAATTCGCTTTATAAGTCATGACAACAAATGAACTTTAATACACCTGTCCAATAAACTCTAAGGTTTGAAAGAATAATTTACTTAGTTAACAATCTACCACCCCCTCTCCCCCATACAGAATCCTGTCTACGCCACTGGGTAGGTACATTCAGAACCTCTAGTTTCTACATCATGTTAACTGCTATTCCCGTACCATTTTTATCCTGTTAAAAGAAGAATCAATAGATAGGCCTATAGTATTGCATATATTATCTACATCATCCTTACCGTCTCCCCAGAAATACGACACCAACCACGACAACCGCATCACCCAGCACGAGTACAGCCTCCAGGTGAACTCCACCTACGCCCACGACCCCCAGGTCACCCACATCCTCCACAGCCTGTTCGACGGTCTCGACTTCAACAACGACCGCCATCTGGATACAGCCGACTACGACCATTTCTTCACCATCACAGACTCCAACAACAACCAACTTCTCAGCTTTGACGAGTTCTCCAAGTAAGTTTTTATCGCTGGTTTTCGGGTGAGTTTCAGTCAGTTGCGACTTGCATGGGGTAACTATTCAAGTTATCAGATGTTTTGTTTATTGACTATAGTTATCTTTACAAAATTGAAAATAAAATATTTCTTTAATAAAAGCTTTGGTAGCTAATGACATTTTTTTACATATATTAGCGATAAAAGCTTTAATGAAAGAAAGCAAATTAGTTTTTTTTTTCTTGTTTTTGGGGCAGGGCATTCAAACGCTATGAAGTTTATTTATATTTGTTTGATATAGTTTACAACTGTATATAATGCAACGTTGTTTTATATTTCAGGGTTTTCAAGGGTGCGCTACAAGCTGCGATTGCAGGAAACTAATAAGCCACTGTAAACTGTTTTGTTAGCATTTCCTGAACTGTACTCTAGAATAAGAGGATTAACACATTATATGATTTGATACATGAGAATATAATACATCTTTTTATGCTTTAAATTTATTATTCGTTATTGTCTAATAGTGTTCTTTGTGTTAAAATACTGTTAGAATGTGTGGAGGAAGGGGGGTGTTAAATTTCCTGCACTGCATCTTCTTCAACTTTTCCCGTTCGTGCCCAAGACACGTGAAGCAGATGACGTAGAGTTCATCTGTTTCAATGACCTCGGCATACAAGGAGATACTATGACCAGCGCTATGCACAGCCTACATTGCTTCCCTAGAGTGAATCAGGTACGAATCAATGCTGGGTGGACTAGAGGACGTCCTACAGATTTCCAGCCAGTGATCCGAACTCGAGACTTTCGATTTAGCAGTCGAATGCTGATGTCCCATAATATTTTGTTTTGAACTGGTCATGTGAAGTGGTTAAATGACCGAAGCGTTCAGTTTCAAGCAGGCGTTGTGCTTAGATATATGAGAATTATGCGCCGTACGATACAAGGCAAAGCAGTCATAATGTGAAAGAAAGTTTCACACACACAGAAGTCCCACTATGACACGCTACATAGACAGCGTAGTCAGGAAGAAGGGTGTATGATCGCTAACTCCAAAAATCCCGAGATCGAACCCAATGAAGGTGAAGCTGGTTAGCGGGCGACAGCAGCCATCTGGGAGAGGAAACTCTAGAACCAAACAACTGATGCTTTTAGATCATTCTTCGATGAATGAATGCTATAAAAAGTATAGGATTGTTGTGAACTCGGCCACGCCTTTACGGGTGATCCAGTGCGTCACGCAACATATAAGACGACAAAACCACAAAAGGGTTACAAAACACGACTAAAAGAAATAAAGGTTCGTTAACAATAAAGAATTTAGTACTATACACACTATCTACACAACACAGACTATTCTAAAGATAAATACATACGCTAGAACACAAACTAAGATACAGTGGCTATCTAACAGTACGGAACTAACCTACACAACATACGATACAATGGCAATCTAACAGTACAGTGCGTTTGCTTTTGTGTTTGCGTTTGTGTTTGGGTTTGCGTGTTTGTATTTTCGTTTGCTTTTGTGTTTGTGTTTGTTTTTGTGTTTTTGTTTGCGTTATGTTTGCATTTTTTTATGTTTGTGTTTTGGTTTTTGTCGGTTGTGGTTAGTGTCAAGTTAAAAGTTAGAGATGGGTTTAGGGTTATGTGTCGGGTATATGCTGCTTAATACACACACATACGAATATATTTTGGAGGGTGTCCATTTCAATATTAAATTTAAGAACGGAAAAGAAAACACTCTACTAAAGCAAAAGAAAAATAGGGGACACACTGACACACATGTTAGGATGATCAAATGAGTCCCGAAACATATAAGGACAAAGCAACACGCGGGTTACAAAAACACTGAACCAAATAAAACTACGGCTGGTTAGAAAAGCGATACTAAAAGTTAACACTGGCCACACCCAGAGAAACAGATTCTTTACTAAGGAACACTGAGGGAAATCTAGGACACAGATGCCACTATACAAAACTAAACTCTAACCTAGTAGCTTCAAAGAACTGGACCGTACCCTCAAACAATCCTGCTGCACCCCTAACATCACGTGACGAAAACATTACAAACTGGACGATGATAACGTGACTACAGACAGCTTAGAGTCAGGGGTGTCCAAACTTTTCAGTCCGAGGGCCGCATTAACTATCAAATTTCAGTTCAGGGGCCAGTTTCTTCCTGGCATGTCTTTAATTTTTCTGATCAAAGTTCCTCAGCCATCGCCAACAAACGGTTTTTTCCGTGGACAAAAATATCTCCGCGGACCGGATAAGAGGACCTCGCGGGCAGCATTCGGCCCGCGGGCCGTAGTTTGGACACCCCTGGTCTAGAGCAACAGGAGTGAACATCAGCAACCGGGACATGTTACTAAGTACACAAAACATTCACCCATTCATCCCATCTACTCCTTCACTAAAACAATGATCTAACTCTTATACTCTTAATCACATTATGCAAGTGCATTATAAGCGTGAATGTTATCTTGCGACAAATTCATCATGATATTCATTGGTGTATATTACACGACAATATATGTTTGTATTTGCGATATATCTAGTCGTCAATGACAAGATTAGCATATTTCATGTAAAGGTATTTCAAACATAAACCACCTGCTCTTACTCGTATTTCCAATGAATACGTGTTTAAATTTGAAAAATCTGAAGCAAATCAAAAGTACCATCACAACGGGGTAGCGCATCACACAGAATGACACAATTTTTAAATTAGACCACGGTTAAACAATTGCAGAGAAAAAAAGCTACATACACATGAACTAATAAAAGACATTTTAAAGATAAAAAATATAAAAATACACGACACACTTCCCTCAGTTTAAAGACTAATACGGTGGTACGGTAGGAACCGTAGACCCCCTAAGTCCCTATAACACTCTTCTACGGCAATTTAATTCATTGATAATTTTATCTTGTAAGTACGTTACTTAAGTGTACTCAGAGTTTTTTCATTTAAAAAATGTAGGAGTTAAATGGGTTTTTAAAAGAGAAATGAACCTTTGACAAGATGAAGGTTGTATTGGGAAAAAAATCTTATCTTGAATGATAAGAAAAATGTTTAAAAATACTTTTTTATTACCGCTTTAACATGATTTCGTGATATACTTAATCCGTTAAGTGAATATTTTAAGAGACACATTTAACTTTTAATATTCAAAGCTAGTAATATTACATAAACTGCTTTTTACGAAGGATGGGCTTATTTAAATAATACAATTTATGTCTATGTAGTAGCACTACAAATAGACGTAAACTAAACAAATCCTCCATTGGGCAGATGAAGTAGAGTTAATGTTCCTTGACTTCGGCAAGTGAAGGGAAGGTGTGGTCAGCACTTTGCCAAGCCGTCTTTACTTTCCAAACTTGAGTGAGGAGTATTTTAACCGGATCCGGAAAATGTTATCGGATGTATACGAAAATTTAGGTAGAAGCGAAAATTTAACAGGATAAGAACTTGCACTGGAAACGGTACTTTATCCGGAATTGGCACTTTTAGCGGTTCCGTAAATTTTGCTGGATACGGATATTTAGAACCTTAACAGGTACGAAATATAACCCAAACGAATCTTTATTCGGAACTGGCATTTTAACCAGATCCTGAAACTTAACCTAAATATAACCACTTAACTGTAATCCTAATACCTACTTTTACTATATTTTATTCCGGTATAGCTACATACTTATAAAAGTAGACACTTAAATTATGCGTTTAATTTTTTGCGTCTTTATGAGCAATGACGTCATTATTATTGTTTATATGATTTTTAAATCAATTTTTTTAAATTCTACAACCAATAACGCCATTCTAATTTCTATTTTGTGACAAGACACTACGGGTAAAAGTATATATTTTCTATATAAATTCGGTTTCCTTCTGACGAGGGGGACGTAGACGGGGTGGGGGTGGTATGCTTTGAGAACTAAAGTTATAATTTAATATACTTGAATTCTAAAAGGAAGTATGCAAAATGTACATATGAATTTAATGATTATGGTATTAAAAATGTGACTGCTGAGCGTGCAGTCATATATTATGTCGAATGTCAACTCTATTTTTTGCGTAAATTATAAATACATGGAGATACATTGTCAAACTAATCTAAAATCACGCTTTTTGCTGATAAGGAAAATCGTTTTGTTCAAAAAATCTACTTCCGTCAGGGTATGCCATGACAATAAAAGGAAACCGAGGTCAAAATCTCCGCACACACTTCAACAAGTGGTTTATAAGTTTCGTGAACAAACTCTGTAGAGAAATATCCGATTGCTCACAACAAAACGTAAGTAGATTTCTAACAGTGGATATCTAATTATTGTAGTGAAATAAATAAGAAAACTCTTATATGATGGATTAATTTATACCAATTTTTAAATATTTTGTTTTTACAGGTAGGTATGGGTTAAAAAATAAATGTGGTAAAAGTTTATTTTACTCGTCAAAAACAAACTTCTATTTGCTAACAGGCCTTAAAGTTTGTAGATCATTTATCGTCATATTAATTAGGTACATATTTTAAATAAACTACGAAAGCTTTCAACATGATACATACTTTTTGTAACGTATACACACAAGCAAATATATATATATATATATATATATATATATATATATATATATATATATATATATATATATATATATATATATATATATATATATATATATATATATGTATGTATATATATATATATATGTATATATATATATATATATATATGTATGTATATATATATAAGGCTTTTTACAAGCATATATACATAATGTATACATTAATCTATTTATATTGTTTTATTTATTTAAGGTGTATGAGGTTTATAACTATTATTTCATAGAACTAAAGATGCTGGTCATTCTAGTACTGGTCTCATGTCTGCCATACCTGTCCTTTGGCCAGGATGTGAGCAACGTGGCGTATGAATCCTTCAGGAAAATAGATGCTAACCATGACGGACACATCACAAAACCAGAGCTCGTCAGTTACTTCGATGTACGTACATGACTTTGGGTTTTTTATTTGTTTTAGTTTTGTACGTTCTAAACACTAGGGCGAAACTACAGTTTCATTTCTTAATCATCCCACATAGAATAAATGTTTACGTATTGTGTCCACCCAGCGGTGTAAGTTACCAGGTCTGTGTACTGAAACTACTATTTTATCTCCGTTGTTTGGTGAAGCGTACTTCAATGATGGTCCATAGCCTATTAGATCTGCCGGATTAGCTGCAGAGCTGAATGTTTTACCTAGTGTTACATGCTGTGAGATTTCTGTAGAAGCTGACCAGGAGGGTCTTTACGCTAAATGATATTGTACATAATTATTGTCAATCTTGCTCTCCTAGTGCTGAAGTACGTCGATTTTGCCATCTCCATAGCTTTTGTTTACTCAAGAACAATCTTCAAGGCAGCAGTTGTTTGGTCCTGGAGTTTTCTCTACTCGAGTTGCTGTTGTCAGCTATCGAGTCTCATCTGCCCGGGATTTCGAGCTAGGGACAGATCAGTTTTTTTGCAACTATGCGCTTTACCTACCCGACCAAGCCGTCCCCTTTCTTGCTTTAAATGCAGGAAAGATGTGCGGAATACAGATATTTAAAAAACAATTAGTATTTTTTTTTATTTGGAAAAAAAAATGGTCAAATGTCATTTTGAAAAAATGAGTACATCGATTAGGAGCTGGATCAGGTCAATATTGTGGGCCTTTGTATTGCCATTCATTTCTCGTCTTTCCTGAACTGGTTTTTCTTTTAGGCTTGCGGTGTAGTAAAGTAAAGTTTCGTTTCAAACTTGACGGCCTATGGGGCAAGTGAAGTAGAGTTTACTTGTTTCTGAGACCTCGGCATATAAAGGGATAGTGTGGTCATCACTATGTCCAGCCGACTAGCGGTGTAGGGGTGTGAAGAAGTAGCAAGCGGAAGCAGCGTTAATTGGTTGTCGTTAAACTGCAATAAAGATGTGAATTTTACTAGAAGATCTCTTGGACAGCCATAGAAATCGTGGTTGTGTTGAAATGTAACCTGGTAATGCCCATAGTAAAACTAGACGCTACAGCAACAAATGTCTATGTGAGCTGAGCACCACAGTTATTAAACCACGGAGTACAACATTAGGATCCTTATCCTATCATACTTTGTGCTTTTACAGTTGTTTTGTTTTACGTAGCAACCGCCTAACCATGACATTTGAACTCAGAACTTTGACCTGAACAACGACGGTCACGTGACCAAGCTGGAGTACGCCCACCATGTTGACCAGGTGTACCACGAGGCGGCGGCCAATAGAATCATGCACCAGATCTTCGGTGGGCTGGACACCGACAACAACGGCCACCTCAACCACGCCGACTACGACGACATCTTCAACCTGGCCGACGCCAACAACAACAACTACGTCAGCGATCCTGAATACGAAAGGTTTGTTTAATGAATGGTTTCTCTATCGATTGGTCTAATACAGGGGTGGGGGTGTTATAGATTACACAGATAGTATTGCAGTAGATAGGATTCTGAGTGCTGCGCCGACATAATAATCCGTTATCACAGGTTCGGTTCCAGATTTATAGTGACTCATTTGTTTCCCGAACACTAATATCTGTAAAAGTCCCTCAGATTATCTGTAGAAGGTCCGCACAATGTCTGTAGGAGATCTACACATTATCTGTATGAGGCCCACACATTATATGTAAGAGGCCCACACATTATCTGTAAGAGGCCCACACATTATCTGTAAGAGGCCCACACATTATCTGTAAGAGGCCCACACATTATCTGTAAGAGGCCCACACATTATCTGTAAGAGGCCCACACATTATCTGTAAGAGGCCCACACATTATCTGTAGAAGGTTCCCCATTATCTCTAGGTGGCCCACATTTTATCTGAAGGATAACTACACAACAAATTTATACTTTCAAAACATTATTAACAGCAGACATAGCTCGACACAAATAAACGAGACTCAGTCTTTAGGTACCAGGGGTAGACGAATCTTGAAAACAAAAACAATAACTTTACCATTCTTTCCCTTTTTCAGATACTTCAAAATTATTGCAACGTAAAAATAAACAATAATGGATTTGGATAAATAAAGCTTATTTGAGGTTTTAATAATACAGTGTTTTTTCTTTTCTTGCACTGTTCGAAGTCAGGCATCTATGTTTTAGAGAAAACAAACGGAGACAACTGGATGAAACACAAGTTCACGAGTCTACTTTGTACTTTACCCCCCGCCTTAGAAAATTTAAAGTGCTTCCTCCCCCCCCCCCACCTCCCGGGGGAAAAAACCACTGAAAAAAAAGTTCTTGTATTGTTGGACTCTCTGCAGTCCCCCCGAGGTGTTCCAAAACGGAACTTACTTGTTTTAAGCTTAATTTGTCTTTAGTTATAACTGTATAAATGTCTATACTGTGTGATTGTGTAACGATTGTTGTTTTTTAGTTTTAAAAACTAAAAGGTTATAAATGTTATAGATTCCAGCCTAAAATTGTTATATATGAATCCTTTAGGAGAGGGTGAAAAATATGAAAAGACAATTAATTAGATGTTTAATTTACGACTAAGACTGTATGTCTACTAACATTAAGTTTTTCCAATCTACAACGGCTACTGATGTACAGGGGCGGAACTACAGTGCCGCCAGACCCCGCAATGCGGGGGGGGGGGGCCCAGGGCATTTAGGGGCCCAGAGCTGACCATAATCAATTTTGTTATAGTAAAAAAAATAATTTTCTAGTAAAAGCAAAACAGATCTATAATACAGTAGTGATCTTCTACAGTAGCTAACACACGCTGTTTCTTAAAGGAACAAATATATAGGCTACATGTCTTGTAGTGTGAAAGACAGGCAAACGTTCTAACCACTCCCATGACTTATTTCCCTTTTTTAAATAGTTAAATATGTGTGCTTTTAAGAAATTTTTAATAGATTTGCACTAAACAAATTAAAAAGCAATTACTTCTCTTAATTATTATTGCTTTTAAATACATAATAAAAATGACATAGTATAAAAAGGAAATGTATTAAAAACTAATAATATAAATACAAAAAAAATAATCATAAGGCGAGAAACCATTACACATACAAAGCTTTCATGCTTCATATTCTTTTGACCGACATGTACATAAGGAAGCACTATGTCAGACATTAAAACAGAATTTCAAAGCAGGCCAATAGCACACACACAAATTATGTGATGTTTAACATATTTTAATTTAAAATAAAAACTAAGAATTTTTAATATTTTTCGAATTTCCGTCAAGCCTGGATTGAGTATTCTATGTACGTATTTCGTATTTTCGTATATAGGGTCCTATTTTATATATATATATATATATATATATATATATATATATATATATATATATATATATATATATATATATATACATATATATATATACATATATATATATATATATATATATATATATATATATATATATATATATATACATATATATATATATACATATATATATATATATATATATATATATATACATATATATATATATATATACATATATATATATATATATATATATATATATATATATATATATATATATATATATATATATATATATATATATATATATATATATATATATATATATATATATATATTTGGTTCCATGACATATGATCTCAGGACAAATGATCTCAGACAAAATATCTCAGACAAAATATCTCACGGACAAATGATCTCAGGACAAATGATCTCAGGACAAATGATCTCAAGGACAAATGATCTCACGGACAAAAGATACCAGGACAAAATATATCAGGACAAATGATATCATGGACAAATGATCTCAGACAAAATATCTCAGACAAAATATCTCACAGCAAAATGTTGATAGTATGTACAATGATTTTAGTTAATTTGAACTTTTTAAAAAATTGACTGCCAATATGTTTTTGTTTACTTTCTTTACGCATCATAATTGTGAATAAAATGAATGTGTTAAACTTAACAAACCATCAATAGATTTATTCAACTTAATCTTTGTAATGGCCTTTGATTTGAAAAAATAAAAATTAAAACAAACTTTCTCCTTTAGCCTGAAAGGTATGATAAATGATAATGTATAAAACAAAGTAACGGTAGCTATACAGCAATAATGTTTAAAACATGCGAAATATCTTTCAAAAATGTTAATGGGTCTCTAGGTTCGTAACGTAAAATTATTGTTTTTATTGCATGATCAACACAAACATAACGTTTACGTTTCTTTGCTGACAGTACATCGTTATGATCACACCTCTCCAATATTATGTGATCATGTATTGTGTGAACTCTTGCTCGACATGTTCTAACTCCGCGATGACCGCTGTTTGTCTTAAATAAGCATTAGTCACCTGATCACTAAGGTGTGATGACGCATAACTATTGAATTTAGCTATTAGTTGTATTGTTCATGGAGGGCGGATGTCTTTCCCTTAAGGCATGTCTCTACCATCAAAGCGGGCTGCCACCTTGATACGCATGTGTTTCTCTATTGTTATTTCATCCTCTTTGATCTAGTTTCGTCCACCTGACATGGTTGGATTGTTTCATGTTTGGCAAGCCCGCCTACGCTGTCTATCGAACAATTTCTTTAATCTTCTATAGTAATAATCCTAATTTTAAAATTCAATATACACTTTTAAAAGTGCAATATGATAAATTTATACGGCAAACATTTCTTACAATTATCATATGGGCCTATAAACAATATTAAACATATTAAACAAAACCATACGACAGTCAATAAAAAATTGTTCAGATCAACTAAAGTCACCCAATACACTATCAAAATTTAGGTGTGAGATATTTTGTCTGAGATATTTTGTCTGAGATCAATTGTCCGTGGTATCATTTGTCCTGATATATTTTGTCCGGGTATCTTTTGTCCGTGAGATCATTTGTCCTTGAGATCATTTGTCCTGAGATCATTTGTCCTGAGATCATTTGTCCGTGAGATATTTTGTCTGAGATATTTTGTCTGAGATCATTTGTCCTGAGATCATTTGTCCTGTCACCATATATTTATATATATATATATATATATATATATATATATATATATATATATATATATATATATATATATATATATATATATATATATGGGGCCCAAAAAATTTTTTTGCGGGCTGGCCTTTTTTTTCTAGTTCCGCCACTGCTGATGTAATTTGTTTTTCAACTTGATTAATTATGCTAATAAAAACTACCAAACTATTTTGTTTAGAACTTAAGCTCTATATAATTTTTACAGTAGCAAATTATAACTTAAAGTTGTATTTATATGTAAGCGGTCAACCTAAGGTGCAGGAAATGAATGTAAAGTTAAGCAACGAATTATCTCCCATTTGAAAATCCAAATAACAAAATTTTATTCAAGGGAAATGACTTTCACTAGAATTGCTAAATTAACCAAGTGTAACTAAGGCATATTTTTAAAACACAATAAACGCTCTAAATTTCATTATTTAATAATTTTAACAAATCTTTTATTTTAACTATGTAATCTTGTAAAATCAATATATTTTACCTATTGAATACTTAATTGTAGGTTTTGTTTGAAAGTCTAAAAATAGAAGTTTTATCATAACATACTTCTATTCAATTTGGATGACACACATCCGATGGGGGTTATCTGTTCGAACATTTATTTTAAATTTTGGATCCCTTAAATAAAGGGACGTCTTTCAAAAAAACAAACACGGGGAACTGTTTTAGCCATTTCTAGAATTATTAATTAAATATAAAAAAAATAATTTGAAAAACAAAGTTTACGGTTAGATATATATATTTGACATATATTAATACTTTAAGACTGGTAATATAGATTCCTAAAAACACTAAAGATTTTTCAAGCAGAGAAGGCCTACCTTACTTTGTAGTGTGTTCCGTACTGAATTGAAATCATCTAACTTACGATAAACTCGACTACTCGATATACTCTACTACATTCACAACTTATATCAAACTTCGATACCTAAACATAACTAGACTTGATGCTCCAGAACCACGACACCAACTAGATTAACTTCACCAAGCTCAACAAACGGTACTCCCAATCAACAACGATTTCAGTGAACCTACTACTACACTTAAACAGTCAATATAATTCGATATATTAATACCACAACAATCAATACTCCCGAACTCCAGAACTACCATACTTCATCACCTGCATTCTTATTTCTCTACTACCAATCATATTCCACTAGACCTTCAACTACACAACAGCCAAAAAAAAATTCGACATTTTCACACTTACATACTTTATACCTACGAAACCATATCAGCAACAGCCTTCCGTCGTTACTCCCAAATCTAAACGAGTCATCACAACTTACCAAACAACTGACAATACTTTGAATACCCCGTCATTACAAAACTCTATACACCAGAACAGATTTCTAATTCAAAGTCAGAGAAAACTTACAAGCCCTATTAAAATGTTCGAAATTTAAATTACGAACTTATTTAATCGTTTTCTACACAGTGGCGGAAATAGAAAAAAAAGGGCCACCCCGCAAAACATTTTTTTAGGCCCCCACATATATATATATATATATATATATATATATATATATATATATACCTATATATATATATATACATACACAAAATGCATACATAGGGTACTTATTGCTGGCCTGTTCGGATTGGATTTTGAAAAAACAAAACAAAAATTCAATTTAAACAAATTAATACAACAACATGTCATTATTGTCACGCGTGTTTTGAAAGTCTGTTTTATTTTATTTTTGCTATACGACCTAATAACCTTTAGTTGGTAAAATGTGTAGTAAAATTAGTAGTAGTAAAATTATTAGACATATTCTAGCTAAAATACACACTTTAAGAAATCCTAACAGGGTAGTTTCCCTGGATGTATTCCATTTTTGGGTTGGTGTCTATAGAATAAAGATAATCCAACCGCAGCTACGGTAATTTTTTCACAAAACAACCATCAAGTCAGAAATGCAAGAAAATTAAACTTTTTTTTTATTATGGTCGGCTGTGGGCCCCTAAATGGCGTGCCCCCCCCCCCCCCCCCCCCGCATTGCGGGTCTGGCGGCACTGTAGTTCCGCCCCTGTTTCTACATCAATTAT